CCCCCCCCCCCTCTGCACGTGCCTGGCTGTGATGCATTACAACATCATTAAGAGAGAACAATGCAAAGAAATGAAGAAAGCCAGATAACGGAGGAAGCAAAAACACTCAAGTAGGGAGCAAAAACACTCAAGTAGGGAGGAAAAAATAACCGTCGGTGGTCCAAGGTCAACTGGCAGAACATGCATAGATGCATTAATGGACAATCATGGTAGATAAAGAGAAATTTGTATGTTTATTAATAAAGCATTTATGAGTAATACAGTTAAGATTGATATTTTTGTGAATGTGTTTCATTGCCTGTCGATTTAAGGGTTGTGCCTAAATTTTGTGTTTGTGCTCCTAAAATATTCAGTAAGGGGCACCACTGCTGCTAGTGGAAGCCATAATTTGGAGCTCTGTTATCAGTCAGTTTGTCAGATCTTGCAAGCCTCTGGAACCTACAGTGTTTCTCTGAGGGGTCTCCATCTCTGGTCCTGGAGAGCTACTATCCAATAGGTTTTCTGTCCCACTTGGCTTCTGATGAGCCACACCTGCTCCTGGTACACTTGCTCCAGGGCACACTTGCACACCATTCACTCACATATGCACACCTAAGGGCAATGTAGCGACGCCAATTAGCCTCAGCATGTCTTTGGACTGTGGGGGTAAACCGGAGCACTTGGAGGAAACCCCACGACGACACGGGGAGAACGTGCAAACTCCACACACATGTGACCCAGGCAGAGACTTGAACCCAGGTCCCAGAGGTGTGAAGCAACGGCGCTAACCACCACACCACCATGCCGCCCCAAGTTTGACTCCTCTGTTATTTATAATCAGGAATCTACATTTGGCATGATTACCTGAATTTTGATGTTCAAGGCATGATCCTTTTCCAAGTTCCAATTTGTTAATCGAATATCTGTGCGATTTGACATTTTAGGGCGATGCATTTGATTTGGGGTTTCTCTGCAGAGTTGAATCCTCACAGACCAGCATCCAAATTTTATCTGTTTCTTTAAATCATTATTATGCCGTATCATTACTTGTGGTTATTTTTTGCAGAGTTTCTATTTCAGAAAGGCGAAGCTGTGAAGCTGAAGTGTATAAAACATTGTAAAGGAAAAGGTGTGTGTGTGTGTTTGTTTTTTATTTCATTTTCTAAATGAGTTCATCTCTTGGCCCCACAGGGGGAACTGCTGTTAGATAATGGAGGGGTCGGACCAGGTGAATGTCCCCTTTGAGGACACCGTAAACGCCAATGGCACCCCCCAGCCAAAGATCATTACAAAAACCAAGATGCCACACGGGTCCATCGTCAGCTTCCACAACATCCAGTACCAGGTCAAGATAAAGATGGGACCCCCGTGCAGAAAGAAGAGCATCACCAAAGAGGTCTTGGTCAATCTGAAGTGAGTGCCGCTCGACCTCATTAGTGCTTTGAGTAGCGGCGAGAATGATCGCACCTGCTGCGTAAGCTGCCCTTACACATTAGGTGTGTCTAGTTGACCGGATTCCAATGAAATTAGCGTTACAGGATGTCACTGAATTGACGGAAGGAAGCGACTACTGTATAGCTGAGTCACATGATCTTCATTTGGAGCAATCTGTCTATTAATGGAGTCAGGGCATTCCAGGTTCTTTATCTTCAGCTAGTAGTTGTTCTTGACTGCTGAGTGGGTGATGTTGGGCTGTTGTTGTTGTTGTTGTTACTTCATCCTGCTGGATGATGTTCCCTCTCTGTCCTACTGTACTGCCCATGGCGATGGTCTTGAACAAATGACACTGGTCTTTTTTAGTCCACTGTGTTAATTATTCAATATTAAGCATGTTTTGTCGGTTATAATGTCATTAAAACCATTTTACAGGCGGGCAGAGATGTGACCACCCGACACAAGCCTTTCAATTAGTTTTTACTGGGTTGCATTTTTTTTTCCCCACCCCAGTTAAGGAATCTGAAAATCACCTGCAGGCAGATATTACTGGTATCATAACTGTGTACTGGGTCATGGGTCATGTCAAACAGTTTTTGTCTAGTCACTTGTTTACTAGTTAAACTTGTCAAGCGTTGGTCACATCCTACGCAGTGTGTGTAAACGCATGCATATTGAGTATATTTGCTATGAGCACATCATCTATGGCTGTTATAAAACTAATATGCGTATTAAGGTGACGTGTTTGTGTGTAGAACAAGCCAGGGATCTCCAAGAGCTGTGTGAAAGGCCATGTCCTCCGTATAACCTGGTTAGGTAACTCTTCTATGCAGCTCCTAGGCGTAATTATCTTGGTGATCTCTGTCTCCTCCAATCTACAACCTGATTACCACATTATGGCATGAAAAGGTAGCTTGGAGTAACTCTCGGACTTTTTTTTTTTTTTTTCTTTTTAATTGAACTGAATTGTGACTGACATCCTATCCTTGTACTTGCAGTGGAATCATGAAACCAGGTTTGAATGCAATTTTAGGACCGACAGGAGGTGGGAAATCCTCGTAAGTACCTTCACAAAATATGTACGTAAACCAGATTCCAGAGGGCAGTTGATTTTGACGCGCCTTTAATTTTTCTGTACAGTCGTGCCATCCCGCCTTTCAGCAGTTGTGTTTGCTTGGCCTGATTTGCACTCGCCTTGGTGTTCCTGAGGTTCCTGGATGTCCTGGCAGCCAGGAAGGACCCCTCCGGGCTCTCGGGGGAGGTGCTGATCGATGGGGCCCCCCAGCCACCGAACTTCAAGTGCCTCTCGGGATATGTGGTCCAGGTATGGACGAGGAAGAGAAGCGTTTCTGCCGATTCAGACACCGGGCTGGTAGCAGAGATTTTCACAAGTCCCAGATTTAGAGTCTGAGTCAAGTCTCAGGTCTCCATCGTGGTTCCAATTTGACATTTACTATTTATCAAAAATGCAACCACCTATTTATTTTTTTTCTACTAGTAACTGATATGACTAAATGGGAATCACCATTTGAATAGTTCAAAAACTGCTTGTCTCAGTTCGTTAGGCTTTTCATTTTCAAGGTAATCGCTATTTCACATGGATTTGAAGCAATAAAATTTTTGTAAGAACTTAAGTACTTTTCTCATGTAGTTTTTAAGACTAATACCTTCTCAATTCTAACATTATGATGAAGACATTCCTTGAGCAGAGCAGGTAAACTTTAATTAGTGTGAACAATTACAGACATAGCCGAAAGAAGGTCCAAAGTTTACAATCAACTATCTACACACAGACACACACACGCACGTTTACAATTATATCTTTGTGGTTACTCCATTAATTTATATGGGGATTTGTGGGGACCTAAAAAATGGACCCACAGCATAAAATGTTTTTTTTATCACGTTGTGGGGTACATTTGGTTCCCACAATGTAATATAAATATAATTCCCCAGATGGTAAATATGTGGAAGATGGTAAATATGTGGAAAGTCAGAGAAGTGCATTTTGGTTGTTTTTAGGTAATGATACATGTATATTGTGACAAGGAAAGCTTGGCTGACAAAGACAAAAGATAATGGTGGCAGGAAGTTACCATTATGTAACACATTCCTAATGGTTAGTCAGACAAAAAGCGCAGCGTCATGGCATGTTGTGGGAGGGGCTCTTCAAAGCCGGGAAACATGATTATAAGCTGTATTGTTAATTTGATTTTATTATATTATTCTCAATTTTCATTTTAAATGGTTTACTTTTCAGTGTGGTTTTATTGGTTTTTTTATTTTAATATATATTTTAGTTTAGTTTTTATGTTTTTAGTTGCAGTCTTTAGTTTCAATAATTTTTATTTCAAGGGATGGCCAAAAGTTTTTTTTTTTTTTTATTTGTTGGATCTTTAGAGAAGCCTACATGAATACACAGTTTACATTTGTTAAGGCAGGGCATGACAGAGCAAAGAGAGATGATCCACAGAGCAGCTCACCACAAACAAGATTTTATGGAACTCAAAAGAACACAAAGCAGAAACCATAAAATAAAGAGACCTGGGGCCTGTTCCACAAAGCAGGGTTTCTTGCTTAGCTGGATAACTTGTTGGATTTAAGGTAGTCTGGGGTCAATATAAGTGAACAAAGATAAAGTCCATTTATCCCAGACTACCTTAAATCCAACAAGTTATCCAGCTAAGCAAGAAACCCTGCTTTGTGGAACAGGCCCCAGGAGCAGCTAAAACCAAAACGGGTAATACAAGAAACTAACAATCATTCACAAGGAAAACAAACACTAATCAGGGAACTGGAGCAAAACTGGGAGCAGGACTGGGAGACAAGCATTTAGTAACAACTATGATGACAAACTAAAGAACAGAATGAGGACAGGCACTTACATCATCACAGATGACAAGGGCTAACAAGGGGCAGATCTGGAACATAACCAAAATCAACCAATCAGTAAAGGCCACGGGACAATAAACAGCTGGAATTAATTACAGTTAACAAGCACTGGAACTAGGAAATATTAAAACACCAAGGGCTAACAATGCTAGGAGAGACTAGGAACAAAAGTACAAGAAGAACATAATTAAACAAGGCACAAGTAAGGTAGACCAAAAAACAGGGACACAAAGCAAGGACATATAAAAAATAATATCCAACATTAATGTTAATATAAAACCAATATACATTAAACAAGAAGTGAGGCATGACTAGAGGGGTCAAAAGCTCTTGGTTATCCGACATTCAAATTACCGGCATAATATCAATATAAAAAATGTACATTTAGTAATACTATATTAAAACTTTACACTAAATTGCCTGTGGAGCAGCACACTATATTAATCCTATATAATAGTCCTATAACATCCAATGTAACAGTAAAATGATCATTTATGTGTGTGTAAAAGAATTAAAATATGTCTAACAAATGTGTTATAATTCAGTTTCTAAAAAGTAACAATCTTGAAAATTCAACTATCCAGCAGTGCCTGGATATGAGAACTTTTACTGAAGATAGTATTTAAAAAAACTGTAACAAAGAATTTGACATTTGTTTTATTTTCAGTTAGTTTCCGAAGCAGTATTTATGGTTGTTTAGTTGTAGTTGTCATATTTTATTTCAGTTTACTAAAATGTTTTCTTGTAGGTTTTAGTTTTGATTAACAGTGATAACTGGTTGTAAGAAGCTGGCAAAGGTCCAGACTGGCACATAATTTTAGAGTATGGATGTATAGGATATATAAATGACACTTGCTGGCTGTCTGGCACATTTTCTTAACTGATGCTTTTATTCAAGGCAACTTGTGAATTTTACCTATTTGTACAGGTGCATAGAACCTGGATTCCAATTAAGGGCCCAACTCAGTCACCTCATAAAGCACCTTCTAGAACTTAAACCAAACATGTTCCTTAACCACTGTGCTACTTGTACTGTAGATTTTTCATTTTGATTGAAAATAGTAAAATCACAGAATTGGATGCCCTCTTGCCAACCCATACCCTACTCTCCGTGGATGAGTTCTGTTGACCCTGTAGATCTCATTCTTTTGCCTCTTGGTTGCCCTGGAGGGGCATGTTGACAGTGCTGCTCTGTGGTCCCCCAGGATGACGTGCTCATGGGCACACTCACCGTAAGGGAGAACCTCCGTTTCAGTGCCGCCTTGCGGCTCTCCAACTCCGTGAGCCAGAAGGAGAAGGACGCTCGGGTGGCTGACCTCATCAAGGAGCTGGGCCTGACCAAAGTGGCTGACTCCAAGGTAGATTGCATGTTCTGCTGCCCTTTGAATGTTCGAGGTGCATAAATGTACATCACAGGAGGTGCCTTCAAACCATAGGTGCTCTGTTCCGCAGGTAGGGACGCAGATGATCCGGGGAATCTCCGGTGGGGAGAGGAAGAGAACCGCTATTGGGATGGAGCTCATCATTGATCCCCCGGTCCTGTTCCTTGATGAGCCAACCACTGGTCTGGATGCCAGTACTGCAAACTCTGTCCTGCTCCTACTTAAAAGGTATACTGCTGGATTTCCTGGTTAACTAGTCACAGTCATGTTTGCCATGTCTACATCAATTGACTTTAGACAATCTGTTACCAGTCACTTGAGGATTTTTGAGTTGTTTTAGAGATTTACTTGATTTTTTTTTTTTTTTCCCCCTCTAGAATGTCCAGTCTGGGAAGGACCATAATCTTGTCCATCCACCAACCACGTTACTCTATTTACCGGCTATTTGACTCTTTGACTCTACTAGTCAGTGGCAAATTAGTCTATCATGGACCAGCTCAAAGTGCTTTGGACTACTTCACTAGTATTGGTAAGGCAGGCTGTAGGAATTTATATATAAAAAAAAACTGCCCCCAGAACACATCCATTGATGTATACAACTCATGGATTGGAGTTTCAAAGCCTTGGGGTACGACAAGTGTTTCTGAATCTCCCAATGCAGGGTATCCCTGTGAAACCCACGACAATCCGGCCGATTTCTTCCTGGACGTCATCAATGGAGATTCCACAGCATTCGCTTTGACCAAAATACAGAATAACGAAGGTACACATGTCCACTGTCATAAAATATAATGAATGCATATGTACTATATATATATATAATACCCTGCACTTTAATTATACTGCAGCTGAGCAGAAAAAGGTTTCAGAGAAAGGTCATTGTACAGTATATTAAAAGGTATTTTTGTTTGAAGTTCTTTGTTTAAATTTAGTCACCTGACTAAAGATTAGTGGACTACAGATGCTTACCGGATTATGATGGGGTTACGTTCCGATAAACCTGTCGTAAGGTGAAAATATCATTATACGGTACACTGAACGTAACAAACATCGTAGCCTAGCCTAGCCTACCTTAAACATGCTTAGAACACTTACATTAGCCTACAGCTGGGCAAAATCATTGACACAAAACCTAAACCTGAGAGCCTAAGACAAGGTGTCACCTACTAGGGTACATTTTTATTATTTAACTGGCTGGTGGTCGCTGTCATGCTGCTTTCCCAGAGTTGGACACGGAGAAGGCCAAATTCAGACAGACCATAGAGGAGCGTCTGGTGAGCGAGTTCCAAAACTCTGTTCACTGCCGGGACACTAAGGAGGAACTGGAGAAGATTCTTCAAGGCAGAGAGTACAGCGGCAAGCCCAAGTCACGCACCATCACCTACAACACCTCCTTCTTTCACCAGCTTTTCTGGGTTCTCAAGAGAGGATACCGGAACCTCATGCTCAATCCCCAGACCTCCATAGCTCAGGTACACTTCTGAAAATGAATTACCTATCTTTGCTTGACAGGGGGCACAGTGGTTAAGGTACTGAACGTGGGAAACAGAATTATGTTCTTTATTAGGTTTTACCAGGAAGCAACATTATACAGAGCGGAGTCCTCTGTCTGCAGAATTCCTGAATATCTGTAGTTCTCACTACTTCTAAGCTGGTCTGAAATGTTGCGAAAGTTCTAAGTGGCCACTGGCCCGATATCACAAATTCTGCATCAAAGAGACAGGAGATGGATTTAATCACTAATGACCTTATGACTGGATTTAGCCAAGTAACTGACTTGAAAGTAATCAGCGTGTTAATTAGGGAATTCTGTGATCCACAACATCACACCAGGAGATTTTCTGGGCTCATTACGGACCTTCTGCGACCAAATGTCATCAGTTGTACTCTCCCTAAGAATTATTAGCCGTTAATCGGCTCTAAATGAAGCGTAATAACCCCAGTCTTCGGTAAGTAGCTTTCGTGACCTTGGTGTCGACTCTTGTGGCGGAATTCGAAGCGATATGATGTCTCGCTAAAGCTCTTGGTGATGGCGTAGCCCATCACATGATGGGACCCATGACCCTTTCAGCACTTCCACACACTGGGAATTGGGTGGGAAAACGATTTAACCCTTTAAATGTACCCTTTCATCCTGTGAACCACGATTGAGTCAGTCATCCGAGATTAACGCAAGTGCAGAGACGGGACCAAATGGCGGTAGTGCTGATTTAATATGGGAATTCAACAGAGCTATGCGAGTCTCTATCAAAGACTTGGTGGTCCTTCTGTAACCCCACACTCCTGAGCACTTTTCTTAACATCAGAACCAAATGGGCAGAGTGACCCCACCTAAAGTACAAGTCAAAAGTTTGGACACGCCAAGCTGCCTACACAGGAGGGTGATTGTGTCGCATCACATGACCTGGCCACCTGACACGGTACAGATGATTTGAGAGGAATGAAAATGGGCCAATGAGTGCTCAGCATGTATGTGGGACCTAAAAAATCTTCCCAGGAGGCCACTTCATGAAAATGGCTTGGAGGAGACAGTAGGGATTTGAACCAGCAAACTTCTGAGTCTCAACCAACATAGCTGCCCCCCCCCCCCCCAAAAAAAAAAGTTTTTATTTTTTGTTTTGGTTAGTGCAAAATTCCATATATGTTGTTTTATTATTGCTATGTCTTTATAACTATTCTAAAATGTAGACAATAGTACAAATAAATGTTTTGGTGGGGGGTTGGTGTCCAAACTGGTACTGTACATCCAGTTCTACAATATAATGGTAAAATGTTTACTAAAATGGTTGCATTTTCGTTTGAGTTTTTGGATATGTGCATATCAAACTAAGTATGCTTTCATTATATGTGATTACTTAGAGTCCTGTTTTTTAAAATTTTCATTTTGTAAAAGTAGAAAATAATTAATGGAATGTGAAGTTTATATATATATATATATATATATATATATAAATAAAACTAGACACTGATTTTTGTTTAATTTCCTTCATCTTCTCCCCAGTAGCCTTGTTTAAAGCCAGCTGGTTCAGGAACAAATGCACTTTATATAACCATATAACTATATTGGAGGGTGTGCACTTTATTTTGCACGTTCCAAACCTGCCCCCTTGGCCAATGTTCAGTGAAGATACAAGCACCTCTGCTATAATATTGTCTCTGTCTTCAGGTTGTAGTCACCATTATTCTGGGCCTCATAGTTGGAGCTATATTCTTTGGAGTTAAGAGCGACCAGAGCGGAATCCAGAACAGGTTTGTTGTTTTTATGCATTTCCAGAAATTCCTACAACCTCCCCCCCCCCCCCTAAAGGCTGTAAATCGCATTTTAATTGTCCAGTGACCAGGAATAAGGAAAATCAGAGTACAGGCCTCAGAGACCGGAGCTGGGGGAAGCTCGATCCCAAGCGGTGTTCATTTTAGATTTATATTTAAATATGGCCATTGTATCTTTGGAATATTATTACTTTTATTACCTGTGTATTCATTTGTTTGTTTGATTGCTCTTCATCCGAGTCGCTTTTGTCCTGCAGTGTTCTCACACACTTTGTTAGTTACGGTTAAAGTCATGATGGGCTCACACCAGTCCCTGTTGACCTTTCAGGATTGGAGTGCTGTTCTTCATCACGACAAACCAGTGCTTCAGCACCCTGTCAGCAGCTGAGCTCTTTATCACAGAGAAGAAACTCTTTGTGTGGGTATTACCACTCTGCCAAGGTTGTGTACTACTGCCGCTGAAAGCTTTAATCATTAGTTGTTAATGTTAATGTAGGAGTCCTTCCTGAATATTATACAGTGACATGCATTTCTGTAATTGTGAAAGTCTTTTTAGATGTCTTGAGCTCCAGTCATGCCTGAATCAGAAATGCAAAATGTCGTCCCAGGCTAATGGATGCTGAATTTTTCCTTCCCCTAGGCACGAGTACATTAGTGGTTATTACCGAATATCTGTGTACTTCCTGTGCAAGATCATGTCAGACATCATCACCATGCGGACCATTCCTGCTGTCCTCTTCAGCTGCATACTGTACTTCATGATAGGTGTGGAACACGAGATGATGCCAGATGAATGGTATTTGCTTGAAGGTTCGAGCTTCTGGGATCCCACTGTGACAAGCTTCTCTGAATTTGTCGTTTCCCCGTAGGGCTGAAAAAGACGGCGGCGTGTTTTTTCATCTTCATGTTCACCGTGATGATGGTGGCCTGGACGGCCACATCTATGGCATATGCCATCTCGGCTGACCAGAGCATTGTGGCCATGGCCAATCTCTTCATGACCGTGATCTTTGTGTTCATGATGGTGAGCCCTCAATACATAATTTCTGTTTGAACTGAAGCTGACAGAATTCCCCCACGAACGTGACAGTAGATAATATCCATCATTTGAATTCAGAACTGCTCTGTCCTCAGATCTTCTCTGGTCTTCTGGTGAACCTTCCTAGTGTCATGAACTGGTTGGAATGGTTGAAGTACTTCAGTATCCCTCGCTATGGTCTGACAGTAAGTACAGATGGGACCTTTTGAGTTAATTATGGAAGGTGTGTTTTACGTGACCCTAAAGGTGTAACTAGTGTGTAAATATATACATTTTTATTCCTTACCAGGCACTGGAAATCAATGAATTTACTGGCCTGACATTCTGTGGAAACACTACAACCCCCGCTGCTTCTGCTGCCTGCAACGTGACGGCCTCTACTATAACGTAAGAGGTTTCATTATGAGATTTACTGTCCCCTTAGCTGTGTGTTTCGCACAGATCCCTGAGCAAGGCTTTGTATTCCTGTCATTAGGGGGACTCTCCATTCATTTCTGTGAGCATAACCTTAATTCTAACTGTGATAACCCTAACCCTCATCCAGCCCTAACCTTAAACATAAGTAACCAAACAAAATAGAAGACTTTTGGCATTTTTCGTTGTTTGATTTGCATTCACAGATTTAATTATAAATCTGAGGTTTATATTGTGGGAACCTGACAAATATCTCAAAGATAATATTTCCACACTGTGGTGACATTTGATCTGTACAGTGTGGTGTACACACACACACACACACACACATAAACAGAACTCTCAACCATCTGACTGTCAAACACTGTTCCATTCTCATAGGTGCACGGGCGAGCAGTTTCTGACTTACCAAGGAATTGACTACTCAACTTGGGGACTATGGCAGAACCACCTGGCCATGGCAATAATGATCATCATTTTTCTGATCATTACATACTTGAAGTTACGCTTCATTAAGAAATTCTCATAAATGCGGCTGAACGTCCATCCATCCATCTTCACGTTCCTCTGCTCGTAGCTGACACTGTTACTTTCAAGAAGCCGCTTCAGCAGAAGGGATTAGCCCTTTACAAAGGTGCCACTTCTAGTTGAAAGGCTTTTAAAACAGTCTTTGTCCTTGAATATATATAATCTTATTATTTATGCAGATTACAATGTATCAGTTACCACTTCCATCTGAAAGAAATAGGCTGTCTTTGTTATTTTGGTATACATGTTTAGTTGTGAGTTTACTCACGTCTCAGTCATATTTAATGACTGGAACTGCACACCTTTATTTTGTATAGAGGGCATTTTGTTTTATAAACTGTAGATATGGCACTTTATAATAAAATCGATCATGAAACTCTGCTAATGTGTGCATCTCTTGTACATTAAGTATCTGCTGCTCAGCTCGGTTGTGGGAGTTTTGCTTACGCCAAAATCTTCTGCGGGCAGAGGCGGGGCCAATCAATCAAACGTCTTGGTCCCGCCTCCTCTACAGTCTGGTTTAGAGAGAACCAATCATTTTTCTTTCTGCCCACAAGCATTCAGCTGTCTAGCCCAGGGCTTACTTCCCAGGGCTGGCTGGCAGGTGTTGGGTTCTACATCCCTGTCATTACGCCCAACCTTTACCCTCCACCCACAGCCGTATCACTGAAACCATGCCCAGTTCTATGGCAGGCCTGGCAGAGCAGTGCATGTCCAGCACTGTACAGAAAAGTGCAGAGGCAGGAATTAAATCCTCAACCGAGGGTGGAGGAGGTGAAGTAAATGCTACCCGTCCATAAACCATCAAAGGAAAATTGGAGAAAATTATGTATTTTAAAAACTCCTTTAATAAGTCCTGAAAAAATATACATGAATAGACCAGAACATTCCGCATGGTATAGTACAGTCTTACATATGGGTTTCCCATGAAACTACGTGCACTTCAAATCGAAGTTTGTTAAAGGTGTCATGCATAAAACATTACAGAGTAATACCTTCGAAAATATGACATCCTATACGGCAACGTGGGCCTGTGTTAGACAGACGGAAGCAAGCTGCGAAAGGCAGAAGGTTCCGGAGATTAACCAGTGAAAAGCTTTAAACTATCCAGCCTTAGTGCGTAATTAGCCTGTTTTGCAGAAATTCGTCTATAAAGCCCATGCTCTATAATCCTCAAATTAAAAACGGCAAAGTAAATGGTGCACCTTTATCCGTAATCCGCTGACCATCCTTCAGCAATATCATTTTCATTAAAATTCATCAGAAAACAAATGTGTGCAACCTGTATACACTCAGAAAAAAGTGTAAAAAAACAAAAAAAACAAACTATCTTTGCTTGTCACTGGGGCTGTACCCTTGTAACTGAACCTTTTGAGCTACAGACAAACTAGTATAAGGAACATCCCAAAGGTACAAACAGCATTAATGTACCATCAATGGTACAAAAATGTTCCCAAGTCCATTTCTGTGCCTTAAAGGTACAATTACCTACAAGGGTACAATTGGTAGATCCTCGAGGGTACAGCCCCAGTGACAAGCAAAGGTACAAATTTTTACCATTTTTTCTGAGAGTGCAGATTAGGGGTACGACTAACAACAGCTGCTGTCCACGCTTGCTTTGGGGATTCGGGTGGTGTGGCTTCCTTCACTTATGGAGTGTACGGTCAATGTGAAGGATACACAGTGACTGCTCTCACTAAAATAAGCACCCATCCACATCAATTCAAGATTCAAGTTCACCCTCATTACAGTTCACGGAAATCAACTGCTATACCGTACCGTTGTAATTTCAAAGTTTAAAATAATTTAATTTCTGTACTTAACTAAATACTTCACAATTTGCAAAGAACTGAGGTGCAGGCCAGATTTAAAAAGCTTATATAATTTGAAAAAACACATATTTAAGTGGTTATAGGGACCACTTACAGCTGTGATCAGAATTATGCCAGCTGGGGTGATTTTATGGGTGCGCGCCGTTGTTACCCCCCGGGTCTGGGCCTTCGGTCGATTGTGAGGACGAGGGGCGGGACCCACGGGGCCGGGGGGGAGCCCCGGTGGCGAGCACCGCCCCCAGCTGGTGGCTGACCTGCGAACCCGCATCGTCCGACTCCCAGCGTTCCAGCTCCTCCCTCACCAGGCGCTCCATCTGCTCCCTGTGCACCTCGCTCTCTCTCCCCATCCGCTCATCCTTCCAGAAGACAAGGAGGGAAGTGATCACCAATGGGTGTTACAGTCCTAACCCCACTCAACAGCAGCCCCTGCCCTAAGCTACTCACCTCCATCACCCCATCCAGCAACCGGCCCAGCACATCCCGCCTCTTCAGTTTGGCTCGCTCCATGGCCTCCAACTTAACAATGACGGCGTCCATCTTGGAGACGATGCTACCGATGGAGTGTTCCATGCGGTCCACACGCCGCACCAGCCTGCCGAAGCAACAGAGCCCGCAGGGTCGCATGCACAGAACAGCCAGAGGATGCGTAAGGTCGCACATGTACAAGAACTGCGGAGTGTGAGTCGCACAACTTGATAAAAACACCAGAACTTACACTTGAAACTCTTCGTAGGAGACACCCCCCGAGCTGCTGCCACGGCGACGGGAACTGTGGCCACTGTCCTCGTCATCGTCTTCCTCTGAGTCGTCCTGACTGCGCGGGAAACTCCGCCCACTCACTGGACGGGCCAGGGAGCTACGCTCCAGCTCGAGGTCCTCCTGGTGTGGGTAGACAGACGCATACAATGAGCGCACTCACTTGGACTGGCATGATGTTAATACACCACTACCACTCAAGCTCGGTTTCAGTGACCAAACCAGGGACTTTCCCCGTGAAGGCAGCTGGAGCCACCACTCACTCTCTCCTTCTCCAAGTCATCCCTCATCTGCTGGTGTTCATGCTCTGTAAGCTCCTCATCTCCATCGTGGTCATACTTGGCGAAGATGGCTTCAATCTCTGCGTCGGTATGCCCTTTCCTGATTCGGCAACAAACACAGTCTCTCTCAGTCTAAGGGAGACCCATTGCTTTGCGGGTGTCATCTACTGGGAGGAGGGAGTATGGAGACCTGGACTGGATCAGGTGTAGGTCCATGCAGTCTCACCCTTTCAGATCCTGCCGCAGCTCATCAAAGTTCAGCTTCCCTCCAGCGTGCCGGAAGCTCTCTGAGATGTCATCCACTGTGGTCTTCTTCAGCCTGAGCTTCACCATTGCCTTGTTGTAGCCCTGCAGAGACAGGCTCATCAAAGAACGTCCTGCAAAGACCTCGAATGGCTATCATACGTGGAGCCTACTTTGATACAGAGCTCATATTCATGGGGTACCTTCTTAATGAGGTCGGCCAGCTCCATTTCAGACTTGTGTTGAGCCATGTCAGCTTTTACTTCAGAGTAGGTGTCATTTATGATGGCCAAGAACATATTCTTAAGAGATGGGAAGAACCAATGTCATTACCAGTGCAGAGCCTGACTGATACATTCACCACTGTACTATTTCAAAGAGTCCATCAAGAAGCGATTAGGACATGCTAGGAGCCTAAAGCAATTACTCTGATGTGAGAAATTAATTATTTGTCCATAATGTTCAAGGCGTTCTTGTTTCCAGATAAATGGAGTAAATTGACTCAACACCTACCAGCAGAATGAATATGATGAAGAAGACGAAGGTAGTGAAATAAATGGGGCCCAAGATTCGGTTTGCCTCTTCAATTTTCGAGAACTCAAAGTCACCCAGGATGATACGGAACTGTGTGAAGCTACCAAAGGAGGACAGTATCAAAATAACTGACTGACTACTACTGCAACTATTTAAGCTTGGCATGGATAAATAACACTAGGTTGATGCCTCCCAACCACACATACACCTCAGGTCAATTTAGTCACAATTAGGGTTGCAAAAGGGCGGTAAATTTCGGGAAACTTTCCAGAAACTTTCCATTCCATGGGAAATTAAGCTGGGGAATTTTGGAAATTTCAACTTGAAAACTTTCCATGGGAACTAATGGGAATATATGGGCACTGATGGGAATTAGTCGGAAATTTGGAGTAATTTATACAAACCGTATCATATACAAACATAAATATAGACAGACATGCATGCAAAGATTTCTAATACAAATTTTATAAATTAGTCTTTCATTGAACAAACAAAATGATGTTTATTTCAACTACACTTAAGTTCCCTATCATAGGAAACCCACTTTATTCCCATTAAATGCCATATATTTTTATTTCGCATGGAATGTATCCAACTTTGAAAATTCCCAGAATTTTGCAAACCTAGTCACAATAGCACACAACACCTAAATTGGGCATTGATCTTGCCGGGATGTTCTCAGGTCTGAGCACCAAGCTGCGGTACTCACATGCAAGCCTTGAAGGTGCTGAAGTCGTTGACCTGTGTCCCGAACACAAGGTAGGCCAGCTGGGCATAGGCGATGAATATAATGAAAAACATGATGGCGAATCCCAGGATGTCCTTGGCACAGCGAGACATGGTGGTCGATAACTGGCTCATCGTCCTGTTGAAGTTGATGAATTTAAAGAGCTGCAACGAACGAAGACAGAGTGGTTTCTAACAGCAAGCAGCAATGTATTCCTTTGAAGAATGGATACTAATGAACCAGTGCGTTATTAGTTGTATGTTTTGCCAAAAAAAATTTAAACAATGCAGGCAGGTTCAACATGAAGTGCATTTTTATAAACAATGTGAAGGCAAAAAGCTTCACCTTGATCCAGCAGAAGAAGACAATGACAGCTGCTAGACTGTTGAAGTCAAATTGCAGATTGGCCATCTGCTCAAAACTGGGGTAAGTGTCGTGGTTTTCCAGAGGGTTCTGACTGCTCACCGTGGACGTTCCATAAATGCTGATGATGATGGCAGGGATGCTGAGCTGTGGGAGGATGTGGCAAAGGAAATGGGAGCTGTCTGAATGCAAATGTAGAATCACAGCATGAGGATACAGAAACCTGAAACATACAGATGGAGTTTGCTGCGCCTCATAATCTGTTTAATATTGAGGCACGGGCATCAGCTCTCAGCACCTTCCCAAGCAACACCCACCAGAACAATAAGCACATCCAGGCAGTTCCACAAGCTTTTGAAATATTGGAGCCTGTGTATACGAATCTCCAAGGCCTCTTCCACGAAGTAGTATATGATGAAGAAGCAGAAGGCGACCTCGCAGGCCGCGATGAAGTAATCCCAGCCAGACGCATAACGGGTCAGCTTGATTGTCTGGAACTGTGAAGAGGTCACAGCGCCCCCAGTGGCCGGAAACTCCACCACCAGCCTGTCAATGGGAAATGGCCCCAGGTTAAGAGCACTTTCCTGTACACTTGTGGGAGTTTTACTTACAAAAAAAAGTTCTGAAGGCAGAAAATGATTGGTTGAGAGAAATAACCAGTCAGATTGAAGAGGAGGTGGATTCAAGCAACTTGAGGAGGTGGGACCAAGACATCTGGCTGGTTGGTCCTGCATCCTCTGGTCGCTTGGATCCACCTCCTCTACAGTCTGATTGGTTATCTCTCTGAACCAATCATGTATGTTTCTGCCCTCAGAACTTTTTTGTGTACGTTAAACTCCCATGAGCTTCCTGTGCCAGAGGATATGGACATGAACCATAGAGGTAGCATGACTTAGACACAGAGACAGCCTGCATTACTTGGCGATGCAGAAGAGATTGATGTTTCTGTTGTAGATGGAGAAATCGATGAACACTGCCCGGGTGCCCCGGCCTATCCACAGGTTGGTCCTGAGCAAGTGCAGCAGAGCAGCCGATGTCTCCCTACTGCGGGACAGGTCCTGGTAGTACCCTCCCCCGCTGTAGGTGGTGATCTCCCCAGTGTAGCTGCTTCCGTTCGTAAGGGCTGCGTCCGTGTACACCCACCTGTTAGACAGACCATTCACGAAAACTGCTATTCAATATTCTTACCAAACCTTTCTTTAAGGATGTTTTCTATTTCCATAAAAGTGCTCAAACAAAACATAATAAATGCATCTTTTGCTGGTTATTATTTTGACAAAACCTTCCACTCAACACCTAGCTTAGCTTTCAACGCCCACTCAGATTTACATAAAAGATTCTGATCGCCCTCTGCTGTACATTCGTCTTCAACACGCGGCTCGTTACGGACGTACGCGGTTCCATTCTTGAGCCCAAACGGAGATGCGTCCTCGTTGGCGGTGGAGTACAGGCCGTAGCATTCTGTCACCTCATCCTTCAAGTCTTCATGGACATAGCAGGACCCGTTCCTCACTTTCACCTGCCTCAGTCGTGGAACCCCCAGAAGGAGGCTCTCGTAGTAGATGAAGGTTTGATTCTCAGAAACAGTCTTGTTGTTGTACCAATCTTCCCTGTAGAGTCCATTAAGAAGTGGTCCCTCTGTAAACTGAAAATGCAGCCTCTTTAAGGAATATCTATGACTGTATACCTACAGTTATAACAGTATTTATAAGCAGTGACATGAGTTTTCTCCATCATTTCTCCTAGCCTAAGAAAACCAATGATATCTTAGAGTTTTGATGCAAATGACTCGTTGCACTTGAAAAGAGAATTCATACCTTCCAGAACTCATCCATGGTTCCAAGATTTCTAAAACTGGTGGTATCACAGCTTGACAGCTGCGTGTCCAAGAACAACTGTGTCATGACCTTGGTGTAGTAGTACATATTGGAGCTCACCATGCCGTAAGTCACTGCAGGTGACAAAGCCAGCCCGGGGGGGGGAGGATGTTAATTTAGGCAAAATTCTGAGTACTTCATTAAGATGCAATTGGCTAACCCATCATGTCCTTGTCAAAACAGGTAAGGTAACGTCTATTATCTCCCATGAGGATTTGTGATGTGCAAGGAAAATGTAAAAACTTTAACTTTATGTTTCTTGGAATATGGGGTTTCCTGTTGCACCTCCGTACTAAATGCACACAAGCACTCACCCATAGAATTAACAAATAGCCATAAAATACTTCTGGGGGGGGGGGGGGAACTTCATTACATTTATTAAATTAAATGCTTTAACTACCTTTACTCTGGCAACGCTTGACGACAGCTGGTGTTACTTACACATGCACACGGTGATAAGGAAGACGATGTAGGTGACCATCTCCCGAAGGACGTTCTTTAAATACCTCTCCCTGCTGCTGTCACTGTCCTCCGTTAGACGCGTCCCCCACAAAACTGAAATCAAACATCAGCCACGTCCAGCAATAAATTTTTAAAGTTGCATAACTGTACTGTGTATACGCTTGTCGCACTGCTGGGGTCCCGTGTTGACTTCGCCTGTGGATTAACATGATCACCGACGCACTTACTTCGTATTTTCTCAAGGATTCGCTTCCCACAGTCCCGGTGGCCGTGCGTGTCCTGATGCTGGCCTTCGGGGGCCGGGGTGGGATACAGCCCGCGGTGCATCCGGGCCGCGCCGCCGCCGCTACTGCTGCTCCCCCCGTTAAAGCTCCCCAGCCCACTACTGCCGCTACTGCTGCTGCTCGACGCGGTGGACACGGACCTTCTGCCCGGGCTCGCCGGGGGCCAGTCCGCATCCAGCATTTCTTCCTCAGGTTCGAACCCTGGGTTGTCACGGCTCCATGCTTGCCTTGAGCTGGAGGAGGGTGGGCTAGACGCCCCCGAGGACCCCCCAAGCCCCAGGTCCCGATGATGAATCCTTTCCATCTCGATTCCTTCGCTTGGATCCAGCCTGTGACTCAGAGAGGGTCCAGCGCCGAGCCTGCCCGCCTGATTCTGCGGCTGCTGGGACCGAACTCGATTCGAGCTCATATTGTTCAATGCACTGATGCGCTTAATACATCAATTACCCTCGACGTTTCACTTTTTACGAGATGATGTCCAAACCCAGAAAGAACTGCCGCGCCACAGGAACCTTTAGCAAGCTTTTGAAAAACTATCTTTCCGCAGACACATTTTTACCTTCCTAAAAGTATAACAGACCAGCACACTGCCCCGCGTACGAATCACTTTTTCTTGTAATTTAGTAAGATGTTAGAAATCTAAGCCAAATTGAGCGATTAAAATTGCCTTTAATAAGTTTGTAATCTGGTGGTTAAAAAATCAAGTAAGAAACTGATGATGGGGGGAAAAAGTAAGACAACTGCCAAAATCTTCTCAATGGTGAAGCGTCCGACTATCTACTTACACGCACAGAATGTTAACTATGCCGCTTTCAGTCTGTCTATTGTTATCAGCGACTGGATCCCAGCTGCAATCTTAAGGTAAAACTTAATGCGGAGGGTAAGTGTTTCCTTCGCCATCGCCAGCCATCTTGTTCCCAGTTGTTCCCAAAAAATCCCAGAGTCTCATTTGTTGGAGAATCGGGTTACACAAGACTCATGGCGTCACACTGTGGCACACATTTCTGTTCATTTCAGCAAAAAATTGTTCAGAAAACGTGTCTTTGTAAAAACACCGAAACTTTCATTAGCGTTCCGGGACAAATATGCAAGTTTGTCAGTTTTTCAGAAACATTTCCGCAGGAATGTTTGAGGAATGGAGACGAACAATCGTACAACAAATAGGCAATTTTTCCACAGTTTACATGTTTCTTAAAACGTTATCATCGCAGTAATGTAACTAAAGTTATGTGAAAAAATTAATGGCATGGGGTAATAATATACAAATAATACAAGTACCTATGTTTATTTACCAGCGTTGTTGCTAGGCAACTAGCTATAGTTACTCATTATTGGATACAATCATACCAAAAGGGAGAATGACGTGATTTACAACCAATCACATTTTAGCTGCTGCTGGCACATAATATGTATCAGTCGCATAGATGTGAAACGACTATATAAATATCTATTAACATTTATTACACGTTATCGTCGTCATTTCTCAAAACATCTTAGCCTTAATTTCCCTGGAAAGCATATTGGAAAACCTAAGATAATGTCGTAATATAATAGTTTAAATCTTGTTGTAGCTAGGCGATCATAGTCAAGAGATGGAGACTGTGATCCAGTATAATTCGGCTACTGTCAGTCTTGTTACATTTATTTTAATGTTTTATGCTGTTAATATTTATAATCTGTGTAGATACGTATTTTTTTCCATATTTGAGTAAATTGAAAGGTGTTGCGAACTTGATTTAATGCAAAAAGTGAGAATAAATAGTATAAGAAAAACTTCACAACCCAAATCCAGGCTGTCCTGATAATTTACCGTTAGGTAAACCCTGACAGAAATAACAATGTGAGAAGTTTAAAGATTCGGTTGTATTAAACTAATATTATTGAATGGTCAACAATGCTTTTCTTTTTGGCTTATTCTTGCGCAGAAGCATCAACATGGCCCCTGATTTATACAATGCGCCATCGTTTGTGAAGTAAACAGGTTTATAGAGTCATATACAAATTAATTATGGGGTGGCAGGTTTCTTAAAGTATCTTTCTCGTGGGTTGACTCATTCCTCTACCATGGATTTCAAACAGACTACAGTTGTGTTCATCCTGTTTCTTCTTCAGCATGTTTTATCTGCAGGTAAGATCGTTTATACTTTAATTCTTTTCTGTTATTAACCACAGCAGAAGGAAACAGGACTCGATCAATAACAACATTAATAATTATATTAGTGAGGTATTTACAGAAAATATACATAATCTGTGAAACAGAACAAGTTCTTTTGACGTAAAATAAGATATGACAAGACATAATTAATATGTCTACATACAAAAAATAATATAGAGACAAAACGGACAATGCCTGTATAGCATTGCAATTTGCAGTCATTATTTGGGGAAGCTTTTTGGATTAGAAATTTTTAAGCAATTACACAAATCACAAGGTATAATTAGGCTATTTTATGATCAATATTAATTTATGGGTAATCAATCAATCTGCACCTTTAGGATAACCGAATTTTCCTCGACACTATTTACTCATATGTTGTATATATATGTATGTTAGGAATTCATTCATTTTTTTCCATCGAGCAGGCTGGCAGAATGAGGTCGATGTAGCGCCTGACGGACAATATCGCGGCGATGGACCGACGGACCCCACAGAGTCCCCGTGTAAAATCATCCCTGTCACTGATGATCCTTCGACGGCCACCGAAGGACTCGCCGCCGCCGCCCCGCAGAAACGCACGCCGGTACGCCCACCTCCAGCACCGTACGTCCCGGTCACGACTCAGGGTCCCTACGGCGTACTCCTCTACTACCCAGCAGTCTACGGGTTACCACCCGGCAGGAATGTGCTTTCTGCCGGTGGCCCGTGGTCATCAGGTCTTGTCGCTGTCCGTGGTTTTGGCGTGTTCCCTAAAAGCTGGATTTCCGGTCCGGTTAGTCAGTTAGGGATCTCCAAGTCATCAGAGGAAAACATAGGGTGATTCTCAAAAGCACTCGATGGAGGGTGAATACAACAAGCAGGGGGTACCAGAGAAGGTTTGACAGGGCACGATATGAGACTGCATTAAAAAAAAATACATAGAAACATTCACCCTGCTTCAGTGTGCAGTTATGCAAGTTAGATTAGAAATATACACAGAAATTTAATTCCTAAGTGCCAATAAATGCATTGATCGTATCCTCAGCATCCATGTTATTACCCGCTCACATGATAACCTGACAATAAGGACAAGAAAAACGACAAGGACAAAAAAAATACAATCTCCGAAACATACATCTAAGGTCTCTGTGTCAAAGAATCCTCTATTCAGTATGAAAGTGTGATTCACAGTAAGGGAGGGGCAAGGCGATCACATTCGTTGCGCATCCCGGCCGGTCTGAGCAAGCGCCTCTGTGGTTGTTAAACCTGTACTTACAGCATCATCGACCCAGCAGCTGCTACCAGCCTCCACTTGTACCTTCATGCCCTCTTTCAGCTTTTTTTTTTTTTTTGCTTCCTTATATGCCTCGTTGCACTCCCCTTTAAACTTAAGCTGGAGTGATTTCAAAGAATGGCTGGATTTTCTGACGTAACCTTTTTATTTGGGTGCGGATGCGCACATCCAGTTTGGATTGGGATATCCAGTGTCACCCCTTTTCCTCTTCATTCCGTATCAGGGAAACTTAATTTAGGCTCCCTTAAATTGCTAAATTCAGAGGTTACGAGAAGGTTATACTGTCGACAACGAAAGGAAAAATAAATGAGCCAACGAGTAGTTGACAGATTAAAAGCTAAAAATATTAAAATGCTATATAGCAAAGTGTTCATAATTCTACGATTCATCAACGGGAAGTTGTAGCATAATATTTACTAGCCTGCTAGATTGTCTTTAGGCACCTATTACATAGGCATTCAGATCGCGTATAAAGTACTCTAGGTGGCAGTAGAGTTACTCATATATCTTAAGTCAAATAAACGAACCGTAATTATAACTAATTTCTGTAGACGTAACCCGTGAAATTTACAAACGCACGATGAATACATCTTATATAAAATAATATGCTGATATTAATCAGTAGTTAATTGTTTAGTCATTTTAGTTATATCTGGGGTCTTTATGTTAAATGATAAAGCAGGTCAATATGACAATCCAGCCATCAATACACCCACTAGAGGCAAAACAGCTAATGCAGATCCACTGAAAGCAGGGACCAGAGAAGCTTCGAGCTCTTGGTATGAAATTAGCAGCAGTGTTGGTGGGGAATCTCCCATTATCTCCAAGGGTACATATCACCATATAAACTGTGGCGTCAGACTACCCACTAAAACCAGGCACAAAAACAAGGCATCATAGAAGCTTACGGCAGTTTCAACCAGTTAGATTTTAAAAGTCTGACAAGCGCTTTGTTCATTTAGCAACCTGCTCTGATGACAGTTTATCCAATCCAGACATCTGTAACACTTTTTCAGGGATGCAAAAATGTGCAACACTTACATTTTCCAACGGGGGGTGTTGAAGGAAGAGCCATGAGACGTCAGAAAGCAAATCTTAGGCCCACTGACACTGACAGCCAGCTACACTAACAGCGATCACAACTCCTGGGGGGCCGCAGTCCTGTGTAGCTTAGTTCTTTCCCTGTTCCGCCACGATTCAGCTCAAGAGCTGTGTGGTAATTAACACAAGGAGTTGAATCAGGGGAAATGAGGGGAAACCCAAAAATGTGCAGGGCTCTGGCCCCCCCAGGACTGGAATTTGACACCCGTGCCTTAAAAAGTGGCTATGACGACTTTCAGGATAGTGATGAACTGCTACGTACAGCACTTTAGAAAAGCCTTCACAGAACAGAAGCAAGCAGTAGAGTCAAGGAACTTCAAACAAAGCATGTAACCAGCAGTTTTATTATGTAATTTAAACCCAACCTTGCAACCTTCCCTCAGTGTGAACTTCCTACATGTAAACTTCTAGACCACATTAACACCTTTAAATTTAACAATGAAGAGCGAAACAAAAAAGGTCTTGAACCAATAACACATCCCAGAAACACTGGAAGTAGTGCAAGATGAGGAAAATCCCAAAGGCGCTACATCAGTCCATTTCTACACGGAGTTTGAACATCCCGGGTTTTAAGACAATACCAACAAGTCGGGGGGGGGGGGGCGCACAAACAAAAAGGCCACAAATTTGCAGTATGAACCGTAGCAGGTGCTACAACAGCTGTGAGCGAAAGGCAAGCAGAATGAATGGCCCACCCAAACCTGCAGATTTCAGGGGGTTTGGTGGTGGCGATACCTCCAACATAACAGCAGGGGACAGATGAGAAGGTCCGTTCAGAAGTCCATTCAATAGTGTCCATTGTCTCAAGTTTCCCCAAATGGTTCAAAACCAATGATTTTAGATGCCATTTGACACATCCACAGCCAAGTGTCTTTTTAGTTCCGGATTTCTATGGTCAGTATTCGTGCTTTACATAAGTGCAGCATCTCCCACTTAGGTTCCCGATTCGTCTTGTTTTTTGTGCCGGGGGGGTGGGGCGGGGGTAGGGGGCAGGGCAGCCACTTCCACTTGCAAAAACCAGGTATTCCAGTCTTTTCCTCCCACACACACACACACACACACACACACACACACACACAGACATACATTGCTCAGAGACGCAGTTTGAGAAAATTAAACATATGCAAGACCCATCTTGCACCAATGCATCTCGATAAATTTACCAGTGAAGACAGATTCAGGCACCTTTAGTCTCCGAAACCAGAAACGATATAAAACTCTTGTACAAAAGTTTTGCCTTAAAGGAACGTGAAGTTAAACCTGGGTAACAAAAAACATGTACACCAGCAACCCTGTTCCCCTACGAGAATACTGCAAATAACTTAAAGGATTTGTGCAACTGCTCCACTGTGAGAGATCGAACCACAGCCACACCAGTAAGCCCAGAAAGATGCAACGGAAGGCACCGTGAAGCATTCAAGAAGTTAAATGCACAAAAAAACCCAGAACCATACAGTAATGCAGCTGTACGTTTATTATGTCGTTCAGCACTTTGATATTTCGCCCCCCCCCGTTCTGAAGCTGGACGGCAAAGCAACAGAAATGGTACGCCAGTAAAGGCACAGAGGAGCCAGAGGCTTGCTGTGCTTGGTGCTCGGGGGGGGGGGGGGGGGGGGGGAGACAGGGGGGGGGGGGGGGGAATCGTAAAACGAGCTGAAGTGCAGGATTGGTCGATAAATCAGAAAAACTCTTGGTCCATTTCCCAGCAGCAACTAAAACATTGGTAAGGGTCAAAAAAATGAAGCTAAAATAGGAGGAAAGAGGGAGAAATGAGTTGGTCACAGCAAGCCAGACACCGTCAGCCAGCTATCCCACCGAAAAGGCCAAAGTAACCAGACGTACCCATTACTGCATATTGACGAGTGCATTACTGCAATTTTGATTTAAGCAATGTTAAAAATAGAGGCGACCAGTTCTCCCCTCCACCACCACCAAAAACTACACAATCTGCACCTCATTTCCAACAGTGACGGGCCAATAAATTCAGAAAGTGCAACGGGGTTCTCTGAAGCGGCCTCCCCATAGCTTGAGGCAAGTATAATCATGATCTTTGTCGACTGGCGGGCTGCATGGAAAGAAAAAAAGAAAAGAAAAGAAAAGAAAAAAAAAAAAACGCTGAATCCCGGTCCCTCTTCACATTGCAGGTTTTTCCTCCCCCTCCTGGTGGGCTTGTTCAAAAACGACAAAAAGTACGAATTGAGCAGGAATATTTCAGCTTAAAGCTGGTATAATGCATGTGAGTCGGTTTCACATCAAGGAAAATGGGGGACAGGCTGTCACATTCCAACGCCAAAAAGGGGAAGGGAGAAAAGTGTGTTTATACATGTGATTTAATTAACGCAAAAAAAAAAGAAAAAAAAAAAAAAGGTAAAGATGAACGTGGTACTACTTCCAAACAGCAGGGGGCACTATTTCAGCGGCGCTGGGTGGCAAAGCGGCTCTCTCCTCTCCCTGAGCTCAGGCCTGGCTTGGGAGCCATCCCTCCCCTGGGAAGGGGGCCCCTTCCATCTCGATCGCGCATCATCCCATTTCCCACGACACCCCGCGGGCCTCCCGGGCCCCGGTCGTTACGGCGCAGGTCTCTGCGGTCGTCGGCGCCGCCCGGCCGGGTCTCCCGCTCCCGCATGGCCCGCGTCTTCTTCTCCTCCACGTTCAGCCGCACCTCTCCCCGGAACATTATGGGCTGCGTATGCAAATGGCAGCAAAAAATAAATAAATCAAACAACTGATCTGAAAATGACTTAACAGGACCACTCACTTCTTCCCGTAGTTCACAATTTAACAAGACAGGCAGGAATGAGACCATCTAGTCGTACTTGGGGGGGGATTACTCCCAGTCCATTAAATTAGACAGTACTGGTTTAAAACACAGGATGTGCTATACCTGGGAGGTGCAGAAGAGAGACTATGTGCCAATTACCCAAACCAGCAGTACCACCACCACCCATGTGAAGGATGGGGGTAAATTTAACAGCCAATACTTGCCCCTCCTACCTTCGCCCCCAAGATCCTTTGCACAGGGTCAGAGTCGTCGAAGACCACAAAGCCGAAATTGGGCAGCTTGCCACCAACGCCTTTGGTGTTGATCCGCAGCTCGACAACGTTCCCATAATCTACCAGGAGAGGAAGAAAAAACAGGGGGGGGGGGGGAGCACGAATAGACATGTTAGCCAATGCAGGAGAGTCTCCCAGGATATCTGACGAATCAGCCACCAAATCCCAGCTCGAATCTGGCGTCCGCTTCCACTCACTCATGAAGAATTCTTTCAGCTCGTTCTCGTCTATGTCGTGAGGCAGGTTGCCCACAAACAGCTGGTGGCTATCGGGGTACCGAACAGGCCGTCTGCTGTCCATCTCGCTCCCTTCAGACTCTCCTCTTCCTAAAATCGGCACATCAGCAAGTGTTCACCACCGCGCGGAGCCAGGTAAACGGATCAGGCAGGAAGCCAGGGCACTGACCTTTGCTGACGAAGCTGAAGGGGGGCTTTCCCACCTGCGGCTCCGACGTAGCTCCATCTAGTGGGTGACAGAACAGGTAGGTCTTGGTGTACTAACTGGGCTGTGTGTGTCATTTAAACACTGGGGGAAAACAGGATGACTCACCAGGTCTGGGTCCTCGTGAAATGAAGGCTGGCCTCTCTCTGGTGCGCTGGTCCCGCACTCTAAGCGGAGCGGCCGGCGAGTCCTGCTTGGCCTCCACCCTGGGCTGAGATTGATCACAAGCAGCGTTTAGAGGACCATGTTTTCGAGGCAAACGTCAAATATTCCCTGATGCTACAGTAAGGAATGTGGCCATCAGTTCCTACATGAAAATTAGGGACAACACAACAGGATTTTAAGTACCTGTGAGCTTGGAGCTTTAACAACATGGGGCGATATTCCATATGGAGTGACTGTTCCGCTGGGCGGTAGGTTTTTACTGGTAACTGAAGCCCAGGAGAAGGTCTACAAGCAAGAGAAGTCCACGCTACTCTCAAAATTCACAGCCGACCACACAAAACACACCTGTTGCCAATAATGGACACTTTCGAAAACATCCAATGCAGAAGAAGCAGAGATACAGACCTTAGGTGGCTCCTGCGTATTGGGTGGAGACTCGACAGGAACAGGGGAGGGTGCCTTCTCCTCCAGCTCCTCAGGAACCTTCTCCTCAATCTCAGGCTTTAGCTCCTCGACCTTCTGCTCTGGTTCAGGTTCTGGTTCTGCTTCCGGTGCAGGCTCCTCTGGAGGTTCCTCCACACCGTTGCTGTAAAAGAGCGCAGCCACATTTAGCTGCTAAGCAGGTTGTGTTGTCGAGCACTCATCAGATTAAGCCTTGATGCATCTACTGAACAACTCAAGGATGGGTCTCAAGACACTGAAACCAGAAACAATTTCAGCCAGAAAAACATGAATGGTCAAGTGCTGTCATGGAAACACAGGTTGAAGGCTGGACACTTACGCCACAGGGTGTGACTCATAGTAGGGGCTGCTGTTGGGACTGTCCTGGATGGGCTCAGGAGAAGGTCGTCTCTCCTCCTGCTCCTCCTCAGCTTCTTCTTCAGACTCTTCATGAAGAGTAACCAACATGACCACATTACCGCAAGAGGCTAAAACCATGATTCGGAAAATCACAGGGGCCAATAACGCCCCAATTACCGGCGTCGCATGACATTCTGCATATCTACCTTCGTCGAGCTCGGCCTCTGAATCTCCGAAGACCTCGTCCTCGTAACGGAAAATGTCGTTGTGCACGTAGAACTTGTTAGCCACAGAACCCTGTATGCAAAGCAGCAGCTCTATCAAAATGGAGGCCGAGCCTCAAATCAAAACAAATAAGGGAAGCTGCAGCACTCAGCCACACTGCGACCTTTAAGGCCCCGATCTTACAGGGTCTGGTACTAACTGGGATTCAGGCAGGGTGATAGGCAGAGTAAATACCCAAGAGTACACACCTCCGGAGCGAGCACGAAGGTCTGCATGAACTTCCTCATCGGCTGTCCGGCGTTGGAGAGCTCCCCCATCACCTGGACGACCACGCCATCACTCAGGGTGGCGTGTGCGTCCACGTGCCGGATCTTTGTGTGGCATTCGCTGAACTGCAGGGACATCACCTTCTTGTGGATCTCCTAAAAGGGGGGGGGGGGTCAGCACAGATAATATTTATTCATTTATTATTATTAATAAAGTAGACAAGGAATCTAATCCATTAACGAATCAAAGCCCCTATTCAGTCAATAGTAGGAGTATGAATTATCAGAATATGAACAGACTGAACAACAACAACAACAACTAAATTTGCTATTAATAGGAGAAAACAAGCCAAGGAGTCTGACCTATTAAACAGGGCGATGCCCCCTATCCTATGTCTACTTCCATCTTGTGGGTCAAAGCAATTGCAATACTTAAGAGGAGTGGTCTTCCAAGTTAAAGTTAAAATAATCTAAATACTTCTAGTAGTGTTAATGCTGGACCACGGGCACGTGTCAGCAAGTAGTAGCTACGGTTTGTCCACGGGAAACCTACAGCCTGGCCGTATACTGCCTCCGTCAGCTTGCCATTGGCATCCAGTCCGCCATGAACATAGGAGGAGTTTCTGCCGTAGAACCTGAAAGAGAGAGAGATCAGGCCATCGGGGGAACCACCGGGGCCACACACCAGGCGGGGCGGAAATCGAGGAGGAAACACAAGACGCCACACGAGCCACGCACGGCTACCTGTGCAGGAAATCCGGCGCTTTGTTTAAGAGTGTGTAATACTGCCTCACAAACTCCCGCCCGACCAGCAGGGGACTTGGCTTCTCCATCACCATTTCTTTGGTAAACAGTCTGAAGCGCTGAGGGGGGAAAAAACGGGACAAAATAAGCAAAACAACCTCACATTTACACAGGATACATTTTAAATCTGAGGCAAAAGACAGTAACTGACATCACCTGCCCCACCCTACCCCCCCGCAATACAAGTGTATATCTGCTAAAATAAAAATCAGGCTAATCAAAATATTAGCATTGCTCTAAGACAGCGTTTCCCAAACCTGTCCTCGGGCCACACTGGACAGATCCACATTTTTGTTTTATCCCAGGTCCCAGAACACCTGACCCAAGCAATCAGGAGCTCTGAAGACTGGTTAGGGAAACGCTGATTTAAGGGAACCCTTTCTTCTCCAGGAAATTTACACTGAAACACAATAAGGGCCAACAACTTGACAGTCACAAAACCAGAAGCCAGGATCTCCACACACAGCCTGACAGCGCAATGATCGCGGATTTCAGTCCCCCCCCCCCCGTATTTCCAAGCAGCCCTCCAGTACCTGCCGTAATTTATAAGCTCCGAAATATTACGAACGACGAACTGCGGAACATATAAAAGGCGAGCCGAGATAAAACGGGAAATACCGAAGCGTCACACGGCAGATGGTAACAGAAAGCCACACTGAAAAATACCTCTAAACAAAACCAGGCCCCCTGGACGATCACCCCCCTCCCCACTTCAACGAGAAAACAGCAGCCAGTCAGCAATAATACCAGGTTGTGATTATAAAAGTACCCAATAAATAGAAATTGAACAAATAAATCCTTATCTAACATGGACATTAAATTCCATCACCAGCCAAGCCCGCGTCACACTCAACATTAACATCACCATTCACACTAACGCCAGCAAGAAGTCAGGAAAATGTAATCATGCGACAAAATTTAAACGCCAGTTTGCAGAATTCTTATGCAACCCCGGGCCTAATTGACAACGTCTAAGGCAGCTACGGTCCGGGCGAGAAATAGCGCGGATCTCCATGGATGCACCAGCGATTTCTGGCATTTGACATGCATCTGCAAACAATGCACCGTCAAAAGGCAGGGAGGCGAGGCGTGGGGACTGATTAGCCATCTTGTTTGCCGGGACGTGACCAGGCCTTTCCTGCGCTGCCATCAGAGGCCGAGCACGGCGCTTGTTGCGGGGATGCGGTCCATTGTAACGAACCGAGCCCGTTCACTCCCTACCGGTCCGAGTCACAGTCTCCGATGCTATCCTGAGCAGGGAACACGGGCTGGAGCGGCATGCTGCTTCTTTTTTGCCAAAGTGCACGGTGTCGGTTTCGTTTCCTCTGGCTGCGAAAGCGATAGCGAAAGCGGCCGGCTGGCCGCTCATGGCGTTTTACTGGCTGTGGCGTCGTTCGCTTTTCCAGCTCCCAAAGAGCCCAGCTTCACCCCCCACTCCCCGCCCCCCAGCACCGTCCAGGGTGTGCGACACAGCCCACCGCCGAGCGTCGACCCACCGCGCCGGCTACCGAGGATATCCCGAGGGAACCGTCGGAAGCAGGCGGCCACCTTTAAAAAAGCTCAACGCCTGTTGCGGAACTAACCGGGGGAAACCGATCGGGCATGTTAGCCGGGCGGCTAACGGCTATGCAGCCGATCGGTTTCGTGGATCCAGAGCGTGAGCTTTGTTTCGGGGGGCCCGCTTCGGGGTCCTCGGCGGCGATCTGCGCGACGTGAAAATATACGATGCCTATAAACGCTCATCAATAATAAAGGAGTTTGGTTTTCGTTATTCCTCTCATCCAGAACAGTTACCCGTCAGCCGGATCGTGCCCGGGCTTTGTGTCACCCTACAGTAACGACCAGAATCAGTCACCGGCGCAGATTTCTTTTTTTTACCCAGCATCGCAATCGCTTGTCGGGCCACTGGCATGCACTGGGGCAATCATTCGCGTTACGGCTCTAATTTGCGCCATCGAAGGCCCTTCGTTTAACAGCCTCGTCTTATCTCCGGATATACAACAAAGAGAACGTCGTCCGGGTAGCCGCGGCTTATAAGCCGCACCGATGCGGCCGCCGGAGAAGCGAGAGGTCCGCGGCGTCGGGAAGAGCCGAGATGCGGCTGCGGAAAACGCGGCTCCGGAACCCCGAAAGCAGCGACGGGTACTTACCTTTCCAAAGACCTCGCTAACTACCCAACCGAGAACAGCAAGTGATATCAATACTGAGATTCACACGCTAAAAACCGTATTCCGCAATTTAAAAAATGTCTTTTATTGTTGTTGTGTTTTTTTTTCTCCCCACCTTTTTTCTGTGACTTTTTTGATCTCTGTTCGCTCAGAGATTGGTGTTTAAAGCGATAAGCTCTGTTTTATTGTTTTACCCCTGCAGTCTAGGGCAGGGAACCCCCGTCACAACGAGCCGGCCAATCAGACGCACACGCCGAATGGCGTCACAACTGACGGACGCAAATCACTTTCCCGCCCGCCTCTGCTTAGAACTGAGAAACTATGATGTCACAGAAAATGGTGTGAAAGGGATCCGAAATGTTCTACAGCTCTGTTTTTTTGACAAGTCGTATTTCCTGTGTGACCTTGTACATACACACCTTGTCATGTTTTACTGATAAACTGATAGGTAGAGATTCGGTTTTTGTGCTAGTAAATGAAACAGCTGGAACCAGCCTCAGAGTGTGCAGAAAAAGTGGTTTAATTTTTCTGGTGCAATTTGGAACCTGGACCAAAACGACCTCAACATATTAACTGAAAATATGGTGCCAAACTAATGCTAACTAAACTGACACCAATGCTAAAATCTATTAAAAGCTGGTCAGGTTCCAGCTCAGTATGCTGTGAAAGAGAAGCAGTAGGTGTGATGCGCCTAATGAAGCTATTAATTAAAGTTGAATTCAAATAGACTTGTACTTCCCCTCATTCATGCAGCTTATTATTTTTGTAATACAAATCATGTGCATTGCTTAAGGTCAGCAAACTCAACTCAAACCGGTGCTCTTAACTTTAAAACGACTCCAAGTACTAAAAGCGAATACAGGCCTACAGCATATTAATAAATCATAAATCTCATTACCCAGGCATGTTGTGTAGTTATTCATTTTTACATTTTTGCAAATGTATCGTGGTTACACAGTCAGTATTCAGCATTCCATTCTATCACTTTTTGGTTGTAAGAAAATTAGTCTAATTCATCATGTACAAATGTGTGTGTGAGTGGTGTGTGTGCCGCCTCCTTTGTGGTCTCTAGGACCCTGCCACCCCAACCAGGATTGGAGGTTGGAAGATGGATGGATGGATGCCAGGAGTCAATGTCATTGTAAGGCATCAACACAATTAAAATATATTTTTAAATGGAACCAGTGTCTTAACACCCAGGCATCTCAGTCAGGTGTCCCCCTGCCTTCCAGCTAGTTCTCCAGTACAGCAGTGTTTTCCAACTAGTCCTCAGGGACCCACTGACAGTCCAAGTTTTTTTCAGAGGGAGCAAAAACGTGGACCGGCTGAAGGTCCCAGAGGATCGGGTTGGGAAACACTGCTGTACTGGATTACTGGTTGGAAGATGGCAGGACAGATGAATGTATTTTGACATGCACAGTCCATGATGGTTTCATAAATAGAAAACCGAACCAAGTGTGATTGATTGCCCTATTATGCAATACACATGTATTATTTTCTGCAGCTAAAATTTTTGCTACCTTTTTAAAAAGATGGATAGGTGACAAAATCGCATCATGTCATTAATAATTAAAAAGACTTATCCAGAAACACCTAAACTGGTACACTATGTCCATGCAAACGGACAGGAAGTAATCTTTAAATAACTACCAGAATTAATGGTGGTTATTCATTACGGTACAGCTTATCTGACGCACGAAGAAATTGCACATTATTTAAGTGCTGGACTATATCATTGCACTAACAATAAAATACTACATTTGCATTGGTGTTTATGCACCACTGGAAGGGATTTTAGGAGATCGCTTAGTGTTCTCGTCCGGACCCTAAACATCAGGCGGTCACTTTAAGCGATCTTTGCTCAGCCACGTTTCGCCACGTCTCCGCGCATGCGCAGTGCGCCAGGTGTCGGTGCAGTTCCGGGTCGGCCGAGGGGGTCCAGTGCACAGAGCCCAATATCAAGTACTGTCTCAACGAAAACAACCCGTGGAGCTATTCTCGACGAACCCTCGGTCTTTTTTTTGCTATCATACACAGATAATATTGTAAAATTTCATAAGGAGAAGACCTGCGAGGATGAATTTTTTCAGGGGAGTGATCGGAGGGCAGGCTGCCGGGGCCCAGCCTTCTGGTGCAGAGACGGTAAATTTTAATCGTGTCAGTCGGACACTTAATCCCAGTTATTGCTGGATGATCTGCGTTTAAAATTAACTGTGTAACTGTGTAATTCAGATGCTTTACAGCGGAGACTCGTCCTTCAGTGCTGACAGGATAGGAGCCGGTAGGACGAGCAGCCGATGTGTGGCCGAAACCGGCACAGCTGGCTTGAAGCGAGCAGCGTTTTTCCCGGAGGGAGTGATCCCATTTATTCATTTGCTTGCATTAAAATTAAGTTCTCCGCTGGGTGACACGTGTTAAGGGCAATGGGGATGGCGAACTCCCTGCTAAACTCATTGTGCGATCCAATATTTGTTCAGGAAAGAACTTGTATGTTAAATGTCTGGAAACATCTAGAAAATCCTGCATCGTAGCCAATGAGCTACGTAGAAGTCGCCCAAGTAGCTGCCTACCACTTCGTATTGGGACATCCCTTGGTATTATTTATTGGTTAAAAGATCTTCCCAGGGCCGCCAACTCTGGTCAGCTGGCTTGAGTGAGATTTTCAATTCGAGACAAGTCTGCACATTCATTTACATGTATGTGACAATTTTATCGCCTTGTAAATAGTCTGTAGGGTTTGCAAACTACCCCAACGCTTCTGATGTAGCCAATCTTAGGTTTATAATCGAATAATATAGATTTGCCGTAAGAACTCTTGCATGACAGTCTGAAAGCCTATTGGTTAACCCCAAATAATTATGAAAAATGGCATGTGAAAGGATGTTGTTGATTGCTGTACAACATGCGTCAGATTCAGCAGATTGCACTTTTTATGTTGTTTGACCGAATACTGCTACACTTGGGTCAATTTGACAAATGAGTCTGACATTTCTCTGTACATTAACAGTTCTGAGTGTCATTGAGGTGGTGGCAACAGGCCATCGAGATTCTTCATCATCTTCGCCATCATCATCCTTGTGAATATTTGTGTTTTTACCCAACAGATCCAGAAACTGTGTGACAGAGTGGCCTCATCTACGTTGCTGGAAGATCGCCGTGATGCAGTGCGCGCTTTGAAATCGCTGTCAAAGGTACTTCCGCTGTCTAATCTCAATTTGTTATAACTCCTTTAAGAATAGCTAACTTATCTGCACTATAAGCAGAACAAATAAGTGTGTCATAACTAAGTTAATACTTCATCACGGTGTTTGAGGTCTTCATAGTTCTGATGTTAGGATTTCTTTAATTTTTTTTTTTTTTACAGAAATACCGTTTGGAGGTTGGTACACAGGCTATGCACCACCTGATTCATATTTTACAAACTGACAGGTATTATTATTATTATTATCATTACTCTTTTTTTTTTTTTCCTCTAAGAAAAAAATATTCTCCGTATTCTGTCTTGAATTTGTAGCTGTGTGTTGCACTATTAAGTGATGATTGCAGTCGGGGCTCCTTTATCTGCTGAATAACACCTTTTGTGTGTTGATGGGGTAGATGTGTTTCGCTTTTATAATGCAAGCCTTGTCCCCTTAATGTTGATTGTTGATTTGATCATTTACGGCCAATGACAAGGGGTCTTTCAGGCTGTGATTCTGTGTACTCTAATCCCGCTTGACGTATCGTTCCTGCAAAACTTCTTGGTCTGCTGGAATCGGAATAGCTAATGGCCCGTTTCCGTTCTCCAGCTCAGACTCGGAAATTATCGGGTATGCTCTGGACACCCTATTCAATGTCATCAGCAATGACGACGAGGAAGAGCAAGGTATTTTGATGCATCCTATAATTGTTTGTCTTGTATAAACTAAAACTCACCGTTACAGTGAAATATGACTTGCGGGCCATTTTCTGATTGCGACTAATGAAAGATGTAAATCTTGAAAATGGACAAATTATCATGTTTATCGACCAAAATAAGTGATTGTAACAGCAATTCGTTAATCTGCATTTTGGTCTGTATCTTTTAAATTCTGAAATTCTACCTGTGCTTTTGGTATTTTTAGTCCTCCTCCCTTTCGGTTTCCCAGCCTGTGTTTAATAAACTCGTCTGTTCAGTGATTGTGCTTTTTCTGACACTTTCTTTTCTTGTTTCCCATGTTTAACTCTCCAGATGAATCAGAAGGTAATTACTTATGCATGGAACCCACCCTCCCCCAATCCCCTTAACCAGTAACCACAATATCCTGCTTAGAGACCCCCCCACCCTCACCCCCAAGACCAGAAAAACAAGGTGCAATGATAAACAGTATTGTCTGGCTCTATTTTCAAGCTGGACCCACTAGGGGGCACTGTTTGAGTTTAGGACACTGGAATGTTAGGTTGTTGTCTAGTTAGGGTGGTAACGAGGGGCGGGATCCACCCCTGTGGGTGTTGGAGTATGGGAGCAGCCACACTGACCCACGCTTTCAGGCAACCCATACAAAGAGCGTTCGTACTGCCACTTTCGCATCAGAGGCCTGTACTACGAAGCGGGGTTACTGGCTTATCAGGGTAACTTGTCGGATTTAAGGTACCACAGTTTAAATGGACTTCATATTCGTTCACTTACATTTTGCCCAGACTACCTTAAATCCGACAAGTTACCCCGATAAGCCAGTAACCCCGCTTCGTAGTACAGGCCCCAGGTGTTGCCATGGAGCAGACTCAGGTTTCGTCCGTTTTCAAGGTTCCTCCTGCCATGATAGTGGATTATGAAGACCAACTCAGTGACTCATTTCTGCATAATAAAAATACTTCTGGGGCATGGTGAAGGCTTAGTTCGTCAAGCCTCTGTGCGTGTACCCGTGACCGGAAAATGTACCTCCCTGGTATCCAGCTCTCATTATCCCCCCGCTCCACCCCAACCCCCCCCAATACCAAAACTGGTTGATTTATTCTGTCTGCCTACTGCACACAGCCAAGCTCTCTCTGCACATCCTCGCTCTGCGCCGCATCCTCGGCAGCTCGCACACGAGCTCTTGCCATCAGCTCAGTCCCTTGTTCCCCTCCATGTTTTGTTTTGTTCTTTGTAATATTTTAGAGGAGAACTCTCAGAAGCAGGCCGACGACCTGGGAGCTCAGTTCACAGACATCTTCATTAAGGAGCCGGAGAACGTGACGCTGATCCTCACCCTGCTGGAGGTAGCCGCTCATGAAGTCCTTCACATGCGGGGGAGGTGAACTCCCTGCGGTTTCGTGGTGCGGCGATGCGGCCTGACGCTCTGTGTCCTCCTAGGAGTTCGACTTCCACGTCCGGTGGCCGGGAGTGAAGCTTCTCACTGCTCTGCTGAAGAGCCAGTGCACTCAGGTGCAGGCCATCGTACTCGTCAGCCCCATGGGTAGGCCCTCGTGATGTCGGCTTTGTAGCGATTCTTCTTGAACGTCCGCCAAACGGGACTGTTTGTGCTTCGGCGGCCTGCTGGAGAGCCACAGGAACCAACAAAGTCCATGCCTTAAGAGTTACACTGATCTGTATTTAATATTTTACTTATACCTTAAGGCCTGTTAACGAATTTGAGATATTAACAAGCACTATTGTATTGTATTGATTTTAGTCAAAGGTTGATTTGTTTCTCGGTAGGAAATTTTGGTGGTCGTACCTTTGCTCCAAATCTAGATTTGTTTTCGTAAGTCAGGCATTGATTTTCTC